CACTCAAGATTTTCTCCATCAACCTTTCGAACGTCGCCAGGGCATTGCATAACCCGAAAGGCATAACTGTAAACTGCCATAGGCCCGTGCCGATCGAGAATGCGGTATTTTCCTTGTCGGTAGCATCTAGAGCAACTTGCCAGTATCCGCTCTTCAAATCGATTGTGGAAAACAGTTTCGAACCAGAAAGCATATCCAAGGTGCCATAAATCCGTGGTAGTGGATAACTGTCTTACTTGGTTACGTTGTTGAGCTGTCGGTAATCAACATAAAAATGGGTTACCCCATCCTTCTTCTTTACCAATACTATCGGTGATGTCCATGGATTTGATGATTACTCAATTATGCCGGTCTCCTGCATTTCGTGGATCATTCGCTCTGCTTCTTCCATCCTCGCCAGGGGCAATCGAATAGGCTGCGCATTACCGGTATTGATCTTGTGTTTTACGATATTGGTCCTTCCCCTGCCATTCTTGTCAGTCCCAAAGACGTCGGCATTCTGACAAAGTAGATGTTGCACTTTGCATTTCTGCTTACTGGTTAGATTCCTACAATTTCTGTTAATCACTCCACTTATTTCAACAGGTACTGTTTCAGAATTTACCTGCTGTTGACGTCGAGTACTTGGGGAAGGAGTACTTTTCCTACACTGCCTCCTCGTATGACCTAGTTAGCCGCAATTCCAACACCTTAGCTTTCGAGTTTCTTTATCGAACTTGGAGATGATTCGGCAGACGGTTTCTTCTAAATATTCTGACGAATCCGTTTCTTTACACAGTAGTCGAACCCTTCCCTGTTTGCTATAGGCCCGTTTAACAGTTTCGTACTCCAATGCACGAGCCAATGCATAAGCTAGCGTCTTAGGTCGGTCAAGGCGTATTCGTTGTTTAGTATCACTGTCCCGAAGTCCAACAGTAAATGCCTCCACTGCCCACCTTTCCATCAATTCTTCTGGAGGATTAGGATAGGCCAGTCGAGACAGTCTCGCAGTATCGGCCTCGAATTCTTGTAGGGATTCCGTTGCTTTCTGCTGACGGGTTTTCAGTTGGATGTGATACACCTCTGTTAAATGAGCCTCGCTGTAGCGCAACTCTAACCGTTTTACCAGCCACCTCGAATTGCTTGTGGTATGTGGTCCATGAGGACTGCTTCAAACGTTGGTGGTTTTACTCGTGTTCTTGACTCTATACCGCTTCCTTGGCTGATTTGGCTGGCTTCGTTGAGTGTACTAGATGCGCTAACATCCCTTTCGATTGGTTTTGTCTTTCCATTAAAAATCAATTCATCCAGCACTTTTATCTTTTCTTTTGTTTCTTGAATATTCTTATTAAAGTTTTCTTCCCATTTATTCTCCAAACTTCTACTGTTTTCTTCCAATTTATTTTTCAAGCTTTTACTATTTTCTTCCAATTTTTCTTCCAATTTATTTTCCAAACTTTTACTGTTTTCTTCTAATTTGCTTTCCGAACTTTTCGTCATTTACGACAATTCGTCTTCGAAAAGGAACGTTTCAGGATCATGGCCATCCTTTTTCAACGTCTCCGCGAGCCGCCAATGAAGTTCCGCTTTGTTACCGCTTGTCGCTTCATCCTATTCTTCCAATTCTCTTCTTAACTCGGCTACTTTTAATTCGTACAACTTCTTTGTCATTGTAATGTCTTTCACTCCACCTCACACCTGACACCAGTTGTAATGTTCGTGCGTTTAACAAAATTAATTTCTAAGACTGATAAGGATAAAAACTATTTATTTGATATAATTGTTTATTAAAGAACTTAAAAACACTATTAAGTTATTACTAAACTTAGGTGATGAATTACTCTATTTATTTACACTACTGTTGATATATCGCTGTTCACTGGGCTATTTATATCACTGCTATCACTGTTAATTTATTTCTCGATTCACTTCTGCAACGGTTAATTTATTTCTTTTCCTCGGAGGTCGTCTCTTCCTTTGAATACTCTTTTGTTTACTTTCGGGAACCTTCTGGAAACATCCGGATAGTTTCTTTTTTCCATTGAACTGTTTAACTGCTTTCTCAGAACACAGGTACGACACATACATTTACAAATACGGCGCACATGAAGAAAGGCGCCCTCGGTTAGTCGGCGAATCGATAAGCCGTTTACGCACATGTGTGTTCGATCGCGCACAAACACACTCGTGCTCGCTACAATATTGTTGAGAAGCGTGACATACTATCCTTTTCCTCCTCCTAGCGGATTGTCCCAACAAGCGTAGTTTTTTTTGCTAGAAGTTTATTCCCTAATGACTCGCGTGTAAAAAAATTGTCATACTGTTATATTTCTTCCATGGCCCGTTTATGGTTCTGCTAATTTCAAAGTCACAAACTCCCCAAGTGGGACCGATGATTCTCTTCTTTCATCTTTTCCCAAATATGGAAAGCCGTTTACTATATATTTACTACATACTTACATTGGAAGCCAACCAGAATTTTATGCCAAACTTGTCTGGTTTGTTGGGCATGTATTGAGTAAATCTGTAACGTGCTGTCCTAGGAAACAATTGTTCATCTGTAGCAAGATATGCCCCTGGTTTATAACAGTTTTGACTGTTTTCGATAAATTTGTACCAAACTTCAGAGATCNCGGATCAATTAAAACCAGGGGTATTCCGTATAATCGAAAATCCGGATAACCGATTTCAAAGCAAATCAAATAATATTTAAGTTTTAATAATTTTTTATTATGTAATGGGTTTTACTTAGATAATACGATATATAAAAAACGAGCTATAACGATAGATAATGAATTACATAATACCTTTGTAATTTAAAATTTTGGTTGGAAATAAGTTGTTATAGATTTTTGACGTAATGAATCACATCTTTTTCTCGCAGCCAAGTCCCTGATGCGCTTCAGTAGTAACAACTGTATGGGATCCGATTCGTCCTGTCTTTCAAACTACTTAAAAGAAACATCTAGAGCTTCAAAAGCTTCTGCGTGGGATGGTACTTGACATACATCCCCAGTTTCAGTCTCTTCTTCATCTTCTCTCTCGTTATTGTTTAAATCCTCAATGATTTCTTCATCAGTTAATATTTGGAATTCAGGGTCTTCACTATCGCAGTTCAGCCACTCCATAATATTTTATTCATCGCACCCTTCACCAATGCTAAGAATTTTCATTGCTTCGGTTATTTCTTTAAAATCGTGCGGTTTAATTGAAGAATCAGATAGAGTTAATTTTAATAATTTATTCCATGCCCTTTTTAATGTTTGCAATTCCACAGAATTTCACGCTTCTACCAGCATATAACAACAATCTTTTAAATTAATTTCTTTAAAAAACTTTAACATTTCTATTTCACTGTCGTCTGCTGATAAAAGACGACGCAGTTGCTGCTTTCTGTATAAACGTTTTAAAGTTTCAATGACACTGGTCCATAGGTTGCAATATCGATGTTACGTTAGGGAGCAAAAACTTAACCGTGAACTTCCCATTTTCTCGATTTAGTGTTTCAGCGGAAGGGTGCGTAGGCGCATTATCTAATAACAACAATACATCGCCCTCTTTTCCCACGTCCTTTTGAAATTCCTTCACCTCAGGAATAAACGTATACCAAGTAAGAAAAATATCTGTGTTTATCCACGCTTTTTTTTGGTTAGCGTAAGTTACGGGTATTTTAACATTTTTGAAACAGCGCGGATTTTTTGATTTACCAATAAGTAGCAGTGGCAATCGATGTGTCCCTTTAGCGTTTGTGCAAACCATAACTGTAACTCTGTCCTTACTCACTTTGTGTCCCGGTGCTGCATTTTCACGTCGCGATGCTAATGATCTGCTTGGTAGAGTTTTCCAATTAAGACCTGTTTCGTCCGCATTGTATACAAAATCTAAATCGTATTTTTTTTCATCTAGAAATTCTTTTAACTCGTCTACAAAAGAGTCGGCTGATGCAACGTTAGCAGACAGTTTTTCTCCTTGAATCTCCAGTTCTCGAATTCCATGTCTGGATTTGAATCTTGCTAACCATTCACAGCTCGCCTTGAAAGAAGGTTTTTGACATTTTGAAGTTTATTTATATTTTTTAAAAAACGTTTGTCGCCCCCAAGGTTCTCTCTTAAAGGTACAGAATCAGTCTTAATTAAATAAGTCATTTTGAAAGTCTTGTTATTTCGTCTTATATAGGACAAAACTCGGGTTCCATTTCCGTCGGACTATTTCGGATTTGGGAACGATATCTTCTTTATCTACCACTGTTGTCATCGGTATGATTTCTGTATTCAGGTTTGGGACAGATGCGGCATAAGATGACAGATCGTTCGTGCAATAATTCCTGTAGGAAGGTACCCGGCTGATCTCCGTCCTAGGCCTATTTGTGTTGTTTATATTTATACATCGGTTGGGACATCCTCATGAAAAAGGATTGATGTTGAACGGTAACTTTGATACGTACAGCAGGTAATGATGAGGATAATGCTCATTATCCCAATCGCAGGTCAGAACCATCTTATTATTATTATTATTATTGAAAATATGGGTTTTAGTTTTTCTCTAAGGATGTTCTCTCTTAGAGATTTTAATCGGTGTTTGTTTAGAATTAAGTCTTCTTGATTAAGGTTATGCATTTTAATTGGCTTTATAGTGATTCTGCTTCGTTCTCTTCCTCCATACAACAATCGTGTGGAATCCATTGTTGAGTTGGTTTAACTGGCGAGCTTTCTCTGTGGTTCGATTTTAAAACCATTACACAACCTGAACAGAGAGTTTTCAAGCGGAGGATTTCAGATCTCATAAATGTAATCTGCTGAATCGGATCTTGTTGACATTTATAAGTAAATGTTTTGGAAAGTAACAGCAACCATTGTTGGAGCGGTTGGAGGTGATCATCTTCGAGAGGGGCCACTAGGATGTTGTTTTTGTCGGACCATTTCTTCTTTACAATTAGATCCGTCTCGCACGTGGACTGTTTTGTCTAATGAGCGGTATTTTAACATTAAACTTACCGATATTTCATATATACCTAAGTCTACCTAAACAAAATTTGTACTTTATAGGAATTTTTTATAAAGCTTCAAAATTAGTATAGAACTCCAAGAATTAATACATCAGTGTTTAAACTTCAAGGATATAGCTGATATATCAGTTGAATGTTTTAAGAAAACAGTGGTAAATTATGAAAATGGTAACCTTGTTTTCCTTTTGCCGCTAAATATATGTATACCACATGGTAAGCTCCTGGTACAAAACATATAAAACCAGCAAGGAGAAAAACTGTCCCTTGAAGTCCAGCTCTAGGTTCAGCAAATGCTAAAATTCCTGTTGCCAGAAGACCTACTCCTATCAGCAACAATGTTACAGCAGCTAATACCATTCTCCAATTCTCCTGCACTTTCGGATGTTTGTAACATGGATAATGCACAAAATCTTGACTGGTACTATCACAATAGTCTTGTATTAAAGAATCACTATCACGGGAACCTTCATTTTCCAATTTATAGCCTCTTAAAGTAAAGAAATGTCTATGAAGGATACAAGGAAAAAAAAAAAAGTTGTCTTACCCTGCATTTTCAATATTTAAATGAATGCAATCAATAATTTCTTCAGTTTTTCTATTACTAGTGTGGTTTTTATTGAAGTCTGCAGTTCCACACACTTTTATTGCCTCATCAGTTTCCTCTTCAAATGCATCATCGATCGAAAATCTTTTTGAAAACGATTTAGTACCATTGATAAAAAGATGTTTATTGGACATGATGTGTTCACTTTGAATTCTTCAATTCATTGTGATTATGATTTCCGTTGGCGATTAAACGGGTATTACAAATTTAGCCAAAAATTTGTAACAACAAATATAATACGTTTATTTCTTTAGGCATTTAGATAATGCAATACTGAAGATTCAACGGTTAAACTTGGTATAAGAAAACTTTACATTCACATATTAATCAATTAAGTACCTATTTAGCGAACAATCAAATATTGACGGTTTTGGAAACTCCTATGTTGTTTTGAGGTACCGTGTACGGGATCGTTTTGATTGTTTGCTGTGTTTGGTGTTTGGACAACATTATCTACATAAAGTACAATAGGTAAAAATTAATATCGCATATTTTTTGATAAAACTGTCTATCACATTGATCTATAAATTTTTAGATACCGATTTCTTAGCCGAAGATGAGTAAACGGTAAGTTTATTTTCATTTATAGAATGTTCGAAGTAATGTATGCATAAATGATGAGGTTTATTTTAGATATCACATATAAAGCAGTATGTAGAACGTTATCTTGAAGCGTGAACATGTTTCTGTTGTGAAAAAATTAAGTTTTTTTCTTACGTATGATATATCATACGATGGGCAATAACAGTGATGTATGTTTCAGACTTTATAATCCTGCAAATCAGAGAGACGCAGAAGAGTTATTAGCTGTTTTAAATGACTTGGATTCAGATGATGAGTATTACGAAGACTTCGATAATGCTGACCAGTTAGATTTTGTGCTACTTCCTCCCGTGGATGGTGAGGACAGCGATCAAGATGATGGGCCTAGTGATGATGAACTTCCGCCGCTTATTACTGATTTAGGAAGAGGATTGTTAGCGCAACCTAT